GAATAATCGGTATTTACTTATTTTTTACTAAACTGTATATGTCAGCTAGATCAGGCTCTCTTCCATTTGAGGGCTAACTTAGGCAGCTAACAACATCACAATTACTGAGACAAGGATTAATCTCAACACGATAAGGGGACTTCTGATTAGGACATTCATTAGGTGATTTCTAACATGCCCAGAAGTCACTTCTCAAAATGTGAACCTTGGAGCAGCAATCTCTTTTTTTGTTCTTTTGTGAAGGATACTTTTTTTTTTTTTTTTAGAAAGGGAAGAAGTGAGAGGGAGGGAGAGAGAGAGAGAGAGAGATCAACTGACCACCTCCTGCATGCCCTCCAGGACATAATCTGGGCATGTGTCCTGACTGGGAATTGAACCAGCAACCTCTTGGTGCATGGGGCACTCAACCACTGAGCCACACTGGCTAGACTGAAGGTTACTTTTTCATTGATTGTTTTTAGAGAAAGTTTAAGTTGGGAAGGAGAAAAACATCAATGTGTCATATTAATTGGTTGCCTCCCCATGTGCCCTGACTCGGGTTAGGATCAAATTTGCAACCCAAGTATGTACCCTTGACCAAGAATCAAACCCCTGACCCTTTGGCCGACACTCTAACCACTAATCACATCAGCCAGGGTGGAGCAGCAATCACTTGGAGAGGCCCCCACAAACAATTATGTAATCAAATAAGTTTGGGATACTTATCTTACTACTAGAGAGTCCACACAAGGTATTCATGCATTTAAGGTCTTTTTTTTTTTTTTTTTAATCCTTACCTGAGGGTATTTTTCTGTTTACCATTAGAGTGGGAGAGGAAGGGGGGGGAGAGAGAGAGAAACATATGAGAGTGACATCACACTAACTGGTTGCCTCTGCAGACCCCGACCAGGGCCAGGACGAACCACAACTTGAGGTAGTGCCCTTGACCCGAATCAAACCTGCAACTCAGGACCGTCACTGTAACCACTGAGCCAAAAGAGCCAGGGCTCAACTAGCATTTCTTAAACTTAGACCACAAAAAATTTCTTCTAATACTTATTGACATTGCAGGTTACACACTTAGGGAAATTCATGCTTAAATAATTTTAAAGTATTTAACTTTAATCCTCACCCGAGGGTATGTTTATTGATTTTAGAGAGAGAGGAAGGCGTTGGGGTAGGGGGGCTGGGGAAACATTGATGGGTTGCCTCTCATACTGTACCCCCTCCACCCAGGAATCGAACCTACAACCTAGGCATCTGCCCTGACTGGAAACTGAACCGAAATCTTTAACTGAGCCTCCTTTATCTTTAAATCTTATCTTTATATAACAGGTAACAATACTGAGGCTAAAAGGTGTAACTTGTACAAGGTTAATACCATCTTTTTCCTGATAGTATAGTCAGTATATAGAAATATAGGTAAAGTAGCTTAGAGCCATGTATTATTTGAAGAAAGGATTATATTTTTTATGTTCATTTATGCCCTTCATTAAAGTTCTAAATTAGGGAAACTAAAGAGAATTGCAATTTGTTACTTAGTAAGTAAATGAGTGGTTGAGATTTTGGTCTACACTTAATAGCTGACCCTCAAGCTTTGCCTCTACAGAAAGCCCCTGGATTTACTTGTGGGTTGCACAATTCTGTACTCTTTCTGCCAAGAAGCACCCTTACATCAGGCAGTGGGCTAAGTAATGCAGTTGTCATTAGTTGCCTCAAGTTAGAAATTATGGTTTTAATTTGAAGCAAAAACTTCCACAGTAAATTTTAGAAATGCAAGATCTAGATACTGAACTACTTAATTTCACAGATTGAATGCTAAAGCTCTTAGTCTGTTGACACTTCTGAATGTCTATCAGAAGAAACATCTGGTTGAAATTTTGTCTTACCACAATTGTGATTCACAAACTCGAAATGCTCCAGAATTGGATTGCCTTATCAGACTGCAGGCTCAGAACATACAGCAACGACACATAGTCTTTTTAACAGGTAAGCAGTGATCTTCAGCTTTCTACTATGAATATAGAATGTGGGTAACAGGATTTTGTGGTGCTATAATGGGTATTAACTGTTAAGCTATGATTTTGAAAAGGTGGGGAAAAGAATTTTGTGAGGGCTGGGAGCAGGCATCGTTTGTCCGTGTACATTTTCAAGTATTTTACACTTGGAATGTTATCTTTTTAATTTAGAAAAGAATATCCAGATGCTCTCCAGTTACACAGATAATGGAATAGTAGTTGCATCTGCTGAAGCCTTTATGCAAAACTTTAAAAATCTTGTGGGCTATCACAACTTAGTCACAGAAGAAAACCTTCCACTGCTCGGTGCTAATGAGAATCTTGAGTCGCAGTCAGGTAACTTTTTAGTAGTTTTCATTTTCTTTAAGGCAGACAGAAAAGAGGAATGGTTTTGCTGTTTTCATATAATGAAATGCCTATTTTGAAACCACTCACCTCGGTGTAAACAGCTTCAGGGGAAATGTTTTAAGGAATTTATCATTCTTAGCATGCACAAAATATGCTCATTTATTAAACAATAATCAATACAAGCTGCTAGTTTCTGTGGACTGCATACTATAGAGTATGCATTTTCTCTTTGAGGATATTGTAAGCTTTATTGGCTGCTGTTGTCAGCGAAGGGGTTATATTTTTTTAAAAGGACACCAGATATGGGGATTTGGCATTGGGGTACTAAATCTCCCCAGATGTACCAAGTAATTTAATACAAAGTAGCAGTAGGGATATCCACAGCTTTAGTCTTTTGTGAGACGGCCTCTGCTTTGGTTCCAGGTTTTATGTAAAATAAAAAATGTACTTTTGTTTTCGATGAAAAGCAGAGATCAAACTTTTGATAGAGCTAACCAGTTTAGAAGTAATCCAGTGAAGCTAGATGTCAGAATTTTTATTTTGTATTTGTCTTGTCAAATACTGAATTACCGTATAACTTTAGATGCTGTTTTGACATTAACCCCTTTGGAGCTGGGAGTTGGGATTTCCCAACATTAAACGTGAACACATTTCGCAGAAGCTTTTAGCATCGGATTATCTGGACATTCACACCTAGTGTGAGTGTTGTGACTAAGTGAACTTGTGGCAGAAGACCAAGCTTTAAGGGATTGTGGACTTGCAGACCCTGACGCATTATATTGTGTGAGTAGTGTATAATTTTAAAACTTAAACAAATTGTGTATTTCAATAGAGGAGGACTTTTTGTTTTTTAAATGTAGCTCTTTTAGAAAACGATGAAAAGGATGAAGAGGATATGTCTCTGGATTCAGGGGATGAAATCTCACAAATAGAAGTATACAGCAGTTTTCATTCAGAAATATTGGCGAAAGAGACCAAAGGATCACGTGGAACAGATCAAAAAAAGAATATTCAAATTGAGTTGCAATCGTCTCTTGACGTACAAAAAAGTTTATTAGAAGATAAGACTTATCAAATTGATTCTGAAGAGAGAGCTTCTATTGATGTAAGCTCTGAAGGACAGAACAGCCATTCAGCTGAACAAGATTCATATAGCAACTTTCAGGTTTATCAAAGTCAATTAAGTATGTCCCATCAGTGTAGTCATTTTAATGTTCTCACTCACCAGACATTTTTGGGAACATCATATGCCCTTTCATCAAGTCAGTCTCAAGAAAGTGAAAATTACTTTTTATCTGCTTATACTGAAAGCTTGAGGGAAAAGTGATTTTCCAGGCCATATTCAGAAGAGAAATAATTATAGTAACTTTTTTTTTTACATAGGTTGTTAATGGACTTTTTCTGTTTCTTAAAAGTGAATTAACCATTTATATTTCATTCTTGAAACAAGAGGTTTCTGTCCTTTCTCAGATGTTTTTTTCTCTTATTTAAATCATGATGGCCTGTAACAGTTAAAGCATATGAAAATTGAAATAAATATATATATTTTTAACATATATTGTACTTGAATTATCTCATATTAGCACTTTTTAAGTTATATGTTTCTATATCACCTGTACTTCGGCTTCAAATTGAAGTCTGTTTTATATATAAAACTAGATGTTTGCAAAAGGATAGTAAACAGCAATGGATTTACTTTTCTTCCTCTAATGTTAGATGATACCTACTTTTGTTGAAATGATGTATTGACTATTGTATTTATTTTCATTTAACCTTTTGTATAGTGTTTTTACACAGGTATAAGCCAGTGATATTAATAAATGCAGGATTTTGGCTCAATACCTCAAGATTTATCTAACAATTAATTTCATTTAGGTAATAGTAACTATGTACATAGAACTTAGGCCTTAATACCAGGCAGCATTATTTTTTTTTTATCTTCAGACATATTGCTAAAATTCTGGTCAACCTATTATTTTGGAGTACTTGATAATTTTACTTTGCAGTGCTTACCCAAATTCAATTTCATAAAATAGTTTATTAAATTAAAGGCATTGGACAATTTGGAAAAAACACTTTGCTGTAAATTTTTAGATCAGTAGTCTTACAGGGAAAAAAGTATATTTTTGAGATGGTAAGTACTTAAATTCACAGATAAAGTATGTTGTGGAGCGAAATCTTAAACCCATATCCCTTGCCAATAACTGCCTCTCTATTACTAATGCAAACTTAAACTGCAATTCCTACAACAATACAATTCATAAAAACAGGATTTGGAGAAAAGAAATTACCATGTGAGCCTAAACTAAATCTGGGTTATTCTAGTAAAAAGCTGGGATGTATTAAATCAGACTTTTCCTTTGGCACTTGGAAGAGTTTCTACCCTTTTAAAATACATAGTGGTATTTCAGTTAATGAGCTGTATATAAAAAGTGTGGAAGAATATATTCATTGTTAACAGAAACTCCAGAAGGTGTTACGGTAAGTAGGAAAGTTTTTATAGGACTTAAATACCCAGATTGTGACAGCAGAAAAATGTTTTACTAAACTTTTACAAAACTGTGTTTTATTAAAAAGTTATTATATACACATATATAGCATTTTACTACATGATGTACAAGTTTTAAATAAATCTAGACTATATGAGAAAATACAGTTAAGCAACAAGGACATTTTATAATTTGGAAGACAAATGATTTTGTACATTTAAAATGAAGAACTAAAATTCTCTTCTTGATTGGCAGCTAAAGGCATGAGATTAGTTTCCAACTCCCTTTGCTTCTGGAGAAGGCCCTGAAATCACATCGATATGTTAGTAAAGTGTGCAGCAACTTGCAAATTATTCCTATTTTACATTTTTATCCTGTTAATCCAGAATTGTATTTATTTTGAAAACAGATGCTTGGCTACTTTTAGGCTTTGTCATGTTCAATTTTAATCGTTAATTCTCACACTAGACTTTTACACGTAGCTACTTGAAAAGCTATTAAAACATTTGTAAGATTATATTTTTAGCATAGAAACCAATAAGGATGACTTTTCTTAAAACCAAGTCAACATAATTGTGGGGCCAATATTTCCCCTTCTTCATCAAATGCTGTAGTGTTTTATCTTGCCTGCACCAACACTAGTGGCTAATACAAGGCCCAGCTAAAATAATGTCTTACCAAGCTTATACAAACTACCATTTAAAAAAAACTAAGGACGCTGTTTCTTCATAATCCTGTGATAGGATGATTTTCTAGGTCTACAGAAAGAACTGGTAAGCAACACTTGAACCACCAATTTGAAATGCAGGAGGCATTGGTAAATGAACATGAAAGAGACATTCCTAAAATGATATTCTCCCAAAAAGTACACTGTGAATAAAAACTGCAGAAAAACCTTTGCAGAGCACTTTTTCTAAAGCCCAAAGGTGGGTTTTTAAAAACCAGCTGATGGAGAAAAATTACAGCCTTAAATTAAATAGTGAATTTCATTTTTACCTAAGATGAGTAATTGATCTGTGACAACAAGTAGACTGGTGAGTAAGGTTATATGTATAATTTCACACTGTTAATGTTCAGTTCCAAATACTGCCAACACATTCTTTAAAAGCGTGAACTGCATTACTAAATCTATTTTACACCATTACTGTATATTTCTGCCTTTGGTTTTAGGGCCTTATTGGTCATGTTTTACCGTTCAAATGTATGCATTTTTCGTTCAATAAAATTGTCTTATTATCTGAACTGTCTCATGATTCCATGCTGGAAATTCTCAAAGATGGCAAGGTGATGGAAAGTCTTGTTTTATTTCTGAGAACATATACAGGGTGGGGCTATAGTTCTTAAGTAATAAGAAGAATAAACTTTCACATACAACTCTAAACCTATGTTTTCCCCCAACCAGTAGATGTTGAATTTTTTTTAAACTGGAATGCAGTCAAGTCACATAAATTATGTAACCAAGCAGGCACTTATTAAATAGCCATTCTAACACAAGTCATATACAGGAAAGTCACATGTACGCTTTGTGTAAAAAAAAAAAAAAAAAAAGCCTGGCTAGTGCGGCTCAGTGGATTGAGCATAGTCCCATGGACTGAGAGGTCCTGGTCAGAGTACATGCCCAGGTTTTGGGCTTGATCCCCAGTTGGGGGCATGCAGGAGGCAGCCGATAGATGTTTCTCACTCAAAGAAAATTGATAAAATCCTATTAAAAAAAAAAGTTCATACCTGTCTCAGTTCTGATAATCCCTTTAGGATTGCTTGCTGTCGATCCCTGTTTTTCACCAAGTTAGGATTAAGGAGTGGGTCCCTAATATAGTCAGAGTCAAATAGCTGTCGTTCTTGGTCACAATCTATAAAGCCAGATGAAAATGGCAAATATTAAAAACATTCTTAATAATATAGCACCCATAGTATATTCTCAGGAGTAATTAATATATATTACTTAAATCTTCCTAGGATATAAAAACTTGGGTAAACCTTGTGACACTTTCTAGAACTAGGACAAGAACACCAATTTGGATTTTGAATTTATAATTAGAGGGGAGAAGACATATTTACTTACTGTGTGGATTTTGGTACTGAGGATTCTGGGTTAGAGGCCTAGACAATGGTGCATCTGGATCAAGGTAATAGATCTCATTGGTTCGCACATAGGGAACATAATGAGATGGTTCAGAAATCCTGGGTGATAATTCTGTTTGATTACCTCCTGAGATCAGATTCTCTTTTTCATAATTACTCTTTTTTAGTGTCTGAGTTTGTTGCGTTCCGTTTTTCACCATAGGAGTTGGTGGTGATTGAGACCTGTATTTTTCAAAACAAAGCAAAATAGGGACTAATGTAAAATTGTATATTTTAGATTAAGCATATCTACTCTTTTTTTTTTTTTAATCCTCACTCGAGGATGTTTTTCCATTTTTTTGTACAGATAGAGTGGGAGAGAGAGAGAGAAACATCGACGCAAAGGGACACATCGAGTGGCTGCCACCCGCACGACCAACCAGGGCCGGGGACAAACTGCAACCGAGGTACATGCCCTTAGCGGGAACCAAACCCGGGTCTCTCCGGACCGCAGGCCGTCGCTCTAACCGCTGAGCCAAACTGGCCAGGGCCATATCTACTCTTTAATCACATTTTAATTTACCCTAAATGGACTAACACCTTCGGAAACAGAAAGGGATTAATTTGAGTTTTTACTAGTACTTGCTAAAGATACATATACTCTATTGGGATGGGGGTAGGGAATTAAACTACTAGATCCTGAGGACCAAGCTAGCTAGGTTATTTAATTCTAATATTTCCCAACTCATATAGTAATGAATGTACTTACCATTTGACAGAAACTCGCTACCACATTCTGAGACAACTTTGAACTAGCTACTTCTTACAGAAAGACATAAAATAAAAATTCTAACAATTCTAAATCTCTCATTGATTAATTGAACTTTTCATTATCTATACCAGTTACAGTGATACCTCGGTTCTCGAACATAATTCGTTCCAGGAGGACAGTCGAGAACCGAATTGTTCGAGAACTGAAGCAATGAAACTCAATAGGAAAGCGTGACTCCACAAAGCGTGACTCTCTCTCTGCACTCACACTGATGACGCAAGCAAGGCGCGCTGGGCCGAATGAACGCCATTCGGCTCAACTCGGCTCATCTCGGAAGTTCGAGTTCCAAATATTTGTTCGGATTCCGAGACAAAAGTTTCTCGAATCTCTGGTTGAATACCGATTTGGTCGAAAACCGAGGCGTTCGAGAACCGAGGTATCACTGTACTTCCTTCTCTCCCCCCACAATCCAAGCAGAATGTCGAAGATTGATACTGTTGACATACCTGGAAAATCAAAATTGTTTTAAGCCCAGAGATAACAGAAAACATCACCCACATTCCTACCTAGATAAATAATACCTAAACCCAGTTCAAGTTGGCCTTCAAAATCAAGGTAATTTTAAATGCCAGCGACCCTTTCTCTTAAACCTCTACTCCTCACTTGGAAATCACATGCTTTCCTGTTTCTGTCTTTATACACATACATGCTTGACCTCACCTATATTTTGAGCAAATATGTTGTCTCTCATATCACACACAAAGCACTAAGTAACTATGGAATCAATCCATCCATAACATACCTTTCTTTGCTGAAATAATTAATTTTCAGAGGTTCTTCTTCCTAAAAGATGGACAGATAAATGCAGAAAGGAGTAAATATTTGCACTTGTTCCCACGATACTTTTAGTGTTTGTTGAAAAATATTTGGGGGAAAAACAACTAGATAATGGGATAGACTTTGTATTTTTCCACTCAATCAATCTATTAACTCCTGATCTTATATCCTTTGTCTTTATGGATCATAAATAAGTTCTGAATGGCCCTGGCCGGTTTGGCTCAGTGGTTAGAGCATAGGCCTGCGGTCCTGAGAGACCCGGGTTCGGTTCCCGCTAAGGGCATGTACCTTGGTTGCAGTTTGTCCCCAGCCCTGTCGGTCGTGCGGGTGGCAGCCACTCGATGTGTCCCTTTCACATCGATGTTTCTCTCTCTCTTTCTCTCTCTCCCTCCCACTCTACCTGAACAATACACGTCCTCGGGTGAGGATAAAAAAATAAATAAGTTCTGAATGGGTATTTGAATAAAGAATAGCACTGTCCGATTGGTGCAGCTGAAGTTTCTTTTCTCTCTTTCCCTTCTGCTCTAAAATCAAAACATTTTTTTAAAAGTAGCATTCATCTGTACAAGGTTTAAGGGTAAATTTTTTTTTTAATTTTAATTTTTATCGATTTTTTTTTTTTTTTTGAGAGAGAGAAAAAGGGAGAAAGAGAAACATCAATGTGAGGAAGAGACATTGATCGGCTGCCTCCTGCACACCCCCTAATAAGGGTCGAGCCCGCAACCCAGGCATGTGCCGTGATGGGGAATGGAACAGGGACCTCTCAGTCCATGGGACAATGCTCAGTCGACTGAGCCTCACCATGTTGGGCTAAGAATAAATATTTCTATAAAGGACCAGATAGTAAACACTTGGTTTTGTGGACCATGTGATCTCTGCTGCAACTACTCTACACTCAGCAGATACAGTGTGAAGCCAGCCAAAGATGATGCACAAAAAAATGAGCATGGCTGTATGTGTATAAAACTTTATTTCCAAAAGCAGGGCAGATTTGCCCATAAGCCACAGTTTGCCAACCCCTGGTGTAAACTAAAGCAAGTTTCTAGAACTCTTGTTCAGACACAGAACATCCTTGTGAAAACATGATTGTGGGGAACTGTTTTCAATTTAGAAACATCAATATATGCTTTTAAAAATAGTTTTAAGAGAAGAGCTTTACCTTTTTGACTAGATGCCACCTGAACTTGGGTTCAGTCTCTTGATGAGATGAATGAAGAATTGGTGAAGTGCTTCTTTTCTGAGAGAGGTTTCCAGGATTATTTCTTTCTACCAAATGAAGCAGTTCCATTTGCCTTCTTACTTTTTTTTCTTCTCTCTGCTTTTGAAGCTGTTTGGGGTACTTTTCTGATGCTGGAATATACCCTTTACATGGCTTATTTATGTTCCATTCAGGCCTTTTAGAACATTTCTTATATTTTATTTGTTTCTCTGTTCTTGTGAACTGGTTACACTGGTCATTATACCAACTGTTTTCTTTTTCTAAGTTGGCTCTTTTATCCTGACTTCTTAGTTCTTGTTGGTTTTTCTCAGTGTTAAACTGTTCAATAAATTCTGCAGGAATCTCGGGAGATGAACAAATTATAATTTCCTTCTCTATTACTGATCCACAGTGTGATTCTGTACTGGTGAATACTGCAGTATTAAAGTCATCTAAAAAAAAAAAGCTTCAGATGAATTTTTAGATTGTTAATATATACCTAACATAACATTTACCATTTTAAACCACTTTTCAACGATAATTGTTTTATTACTGCCCTCTAAAACTTTTTTCCTTAAATTTTTCTATACCCATTAAACATCTCCCCATTCCTTTCTCCCCAACAGCCCCTGGCAACTACTATTCTACTTTGTTTCTATGAACTTGACTACTCTAAGTGCCTCATATTTGTCTTTTTGTGACTGGCTATTTTCACTTAGCACAATGTTTGCAAAGTTCATCCATGTTGTAGAATTCGATCTTTTTAAGATTGAATAATATACCATTGTGTGCATGTATGTATATATGTATACCACATTTGTTTATCCATCTGTCAAGGGGACACATGGGTTGTTTCCATCTTGTGGCTATTAATAATGCTGCTATGAATATGGGCGTCCAAATATCTTTTCGAAATCTTACTTTTCAGTTCTTTCAGGTATACATATCCAGAAGTAGAATTCCTACATCATATGGTAATTACTGTTTTCTATAGAGGCTGCACCATTTTACATTCCCAGCAATCAGGAGGGAAGTAGCTTTTCCCTGAGGAGCAAAGGCTTTGAACCCCACATGGTACTTTTAAGACCTACACTTGAGAGATGTGAACACCCAAAACATCTAGCTTTGAAAATCAACAGGGATGGCAAATATGAAACCCACAAAGGCTCACACATGAACTCACTTGCCCCAGGGCCCAGTGCAGAGGCAGCCAATTGTGTCCAGACTGTGTGTGAAAGAGGTTCATTTGAAAGAGGTTCATTTTGTTTTATTAAAATTTGGCCTGAGCGGCAGACATCTAAGTAACACATATCTAGGGTCCTGCTGGGATACCGTCAGGAGTGAGGTTGGCGGGCGACTGAATTTTTTAAATTTGAGGCCGGTCCACACTGCCCTAGGCAAGCGCAATCTTTTTTTTTTTTTTTTTTTTTTTATCCTCGCTGGAGGACATTTTTCCATTTTTTGTTCAGGTAGAGTGGGAGGGAGAGAGAGGAACAGAGAGAGAGAGAGAAACATCGACGTGAAAGAAACACATCGAGTGGCTGCCACCCGCACAACCGACCAGGGCCGGGGACAAACTGCAACTGAGGTACGCGCCCTTAGCGGGAACCGAACCCGGGTCTCACAGGACCACAGGCCGACGCTCTAATCGCTGAGCCAAACCGGCCAGGGCAAGGCAAGCGCAATCTTTTCACACCCCCTCTGCCTCATTCCAGCTGACATGTGACATCTTTATACTCTCCCTGTGACCTATTCCAGAGCATCAGTGTTTCCTGGAGGGTAACTGTAACATGCATCTGGGGTTCAATTTCTTATGGCTGCTGCCAGGGGAATACCCACTGATGGCCTGGCTCTGGAGGCCATGAGAGCTTTCATTCCTGGGTTTCATGGGACTGTAACAATTGGAGAGACAGTTTTTGGCAGGCTACCACTCCCAGGGCACTGCATGCACAGCAGACTGAAACATACCCCAAGATGCCCAGCCAGTGTGGCTCAGTGGATTGAGCATCATCCCATGGACTGAGATGTCCTGGTTCGATTCCCGGTCAGGTCATGTGCCCCTGTTGCAGCCTCGATCCCCAGTGGGGGACATGCAGGAGGCCGGTGATCAGTTTCTCGCTCACATCCATGTTTCTATCTCTCCCTTCCCCTTTAATAATTTTAAAAATAAAACATACCCCCAAATTTTCTGAGAAAGAGGCCTATTTGCTTGTCTAAGAGGTTTGGCCTAAGGGGCTGGCTGGCTTCTACTTTGGCACACAGGAAACAGGCCATCACATGCAATCTTCTCATGTTCTTCCTCTGCTTTGCTAGAACTTTTTTTTTTTTTTTTTTGAGAGATCTGAAGTGATTTCACTTTTTTTCCTTCACTTTAAGTCAATCATGAAATTTCACACTGATTCTCTGGTGGGGGCAGAAGGAAGCAATGTTAAGAATCCTTGGGGCTGTGGCCCACATGGCCTGAGGAGGTGCAGGCAGGGTAGGCCTCACTGGGGTAGCTGGAGGAGCACCAACTGCCCAGCTGGTAGGTAGGTGATGTTCCAAAAGCCTGAGAGCTGGTACAAGATGTCCACTGTGGCTTTCAACCTGTGCAGTTCAATCAGGACATCACCCATAGTAGCAAGTGAGCTAGGAATCAGCTCAGTGGCTTTGGAATCACCTTCAGCAGAGATGGTGACTACCTTCTGCTGCTCAGCCTTTCCACCACAGGGGCCCTGATTTTTGCAACTACCATTCAGGGAACACCTACAGATCACTTAGCTCTTATGGCCAACAAGGCTAATGCTTCTGGTCCCACAGCACTGTATATATTTGCATACTTTACAAGCTGTGGTTAGAGGGTCTAACTGCTGACTGAGAACCTCCACTTTGGGACAATGACAGGTTTTTGGACACTATACAACTGGGAGCTATTAAAAATAATCTGCCCTGGCCAGTTCGGCTCAGCGGTTGGAGTGTCGGCCTGCGGACCAGAGAGTCCCGGGTTCAGTTCCTGCTGGGGGCACGCAGCAAAACAAATAAATAATCTGCTTCTACAATCACACAGGTTTGAGAGACAAGAGCAAGGGTAGGGCTGAATGATAAGGATCACCTGCTAAGGTTACACCTTCAAAACTGAGAGAAGTGGCTGTTAAACTTAATGCATAAACACCAACACAAAATGAAGAAATAGAGGAACAGAACCTTAATGAAATGGAAATATGTAATTTACCCAATAAACAGTTCAAAGTACTGGTCATTAAGATACTCCAAACTGAGAAGAAGAATGGGTGAACATAATGAAAAGTTTAACGATGAGGAAATATAAGTATCAAAGAGAAGTCACAGAACTGAAGAATACAATAACAGAAGTAAAAAATACACTACATGAGTTCAAGAATCAGAACGATCAGTGAACTTGAACACAGGGCAGAGGAACTCAATCAATGCACAAAAAGTGAAAAGAATAACAAATTGAAGATAGCTTAAGGAAATTATGGAAAACATCAAGCAGACTAACATTCACATTATAAGGGGCCCAGAAGAGGAGAAAAAGGCAGAAATATTATTTTAAAAAATGAGGGAATATGTCCCTAACCTGGGAAGGAAACTGACTCTAGATCCGAAAAGCCCAGAGAGTTCCAAATAAGATGAACCCAAACAGACCACACCAAAATACATTGTAATGAAAATGTCAAAAGTTAAAGACAAGGAGAAAAAGTCAGAAAAAGCAAAAGAAAACAACTTGTTACATACAAGGGAATTCTCTTAAGACTATAAGATTTTTCAGCAGAAATTCTGAAGGCTAGAAGGCAGTGGCATGATAAATTCAACATACTGAAAGAAAAAAATTCCATACATGAATACTCTTTCCAGCAAAGTATCATTCAGAATTGGAGGCGAAGTTTTTTCCAGACAAAGGTAAGTTCATCACCACTAAACGTCTTACAAAGAATGTTAAAGGAAATTTTTTTAAGATAAAAAAGAAAGGGGGCTAGTTAGTAATAAGAAAACATGAAAGTATAAATAACAATAGTAAAGATTAACATATATAGTAAAGGCAGTGGCTTAATCATTTGTAAAAAGCTAGTATGACGGTTTAAAAAAATAGTAAAAATAACTAAACTATAATAATTAGATAAGAGATAACACAATAAAAAGATGTAAAATGTGACATCAAAAACATAAAATGTGATTCGAGCACAGGAGTAGGGGCAGTGACTTGGAAATTTGGAGACATGTTTGTTGCGTGCAGGGACTACACCAACTACAAGGAATGACAACATTCACAGACAAGCTAAATTGGCATTCAAGAGCAAGGCTCCTGCTTTCGGTTCAAGATGGCAGAATAGGAAGAACCTGAAATCACCCCTCACTGACATCAAAACTACAACTACTTATAAAAAAGCTATCTCGCCCTGGCCGGTTTGGCTCAGCGGTTAGAGTGTCGGCCTGCGGTCCGGAGAGACCCGGGTTCGGTTCCCGCTAAGGGCATGTACTTCGGTTGCAGTTTGTCCTCGGCCCTGGTTGGTCATGCAGGTGGCAGCCACTTGATGTGTCCCTTCACGTCGATGTTTCTCTCTCTCTCTCTCTTCCTCTCTCTCCCTCCCACTCTATCTGTACAAAAAATGGAAAAATGTCCTCGGGTGAGGATAAAAAAAAAAGCTATCTCTGAAAACAATGTGAAGACTAGCAGAACAGATTTTCTACAACAATAGATACCAAAAAAAGCCACGTTGAGATGAGAAGGCAGAGACTCAATCTAGTCAATAATCTAGTCAGGACCCACCTTATCCCCCATTCCCCAAGCAGATACCAACAAGTGGGAGGGATATCACAGTCATGGAGGTCCCCGCCTGAAGAAAGGCACCAGGAAGAGGAGCCTCCATTAACATCTGGCTTCAGAAATCAGCAGAGCTTACATGTGGGGGAGATGAAGGGCTGTAGGAAATAAAGGTTGTGCTCTTTCCAAATCCTACTGCAAAAGCAGCAGTTTGAAAGCACCTGGGTCATGTGTGAAGGTGACACATTGACTAATTTTAGGGTGTGTGCTGGGACAGGAACCTGTTGGAATTTTCTTCGGGGATAGAAGTGCTGATGGGCACCATTATTTTCTTTCTTTACTCTCTGCTACCTAGCTTGTCTAATGCTGGTAGGCACCATTTCTGGCACTCTCCATTAATCTTGCTAAAACTGCTCATCCCACCCTGACATTTCCCTGAGGACCCACCGGCTGGCACCCCTGCCACACCCAATAGGTGGTCTCATTCAGCACCAGCACACAGCACTGTATCTTAAAGAGTCAAGGCTAATGGCCTCCCCTGGACACCAGTGCTTGCTCAACAGTTGCGGCCAGGCCTCAAGCCAGCCGTGCCAGGCACCAGCTTGCCTACCAGTGTGTCTTTAGTAGTCATGCCCCAACCAAAACAGGATGCCACATATGGAACACTTCTGGAGCACATGGCACTGGTGA